CTCAGTTTTGAAGCTATCGTCTTGAAACTTTGCACACACCCTTCTTTCCTTTGCACGCAGTATATAAGTCTATAATATAATAATTTATATAGTATATAATTTAAACCGCCTCGAAGTTAAACAACTAAACAGAATTTTAAGCGGACATGCCTTTGACAAATACACGTTGCACAAATTAAAAGTCTTTGACAATTCTATTTGCGACTGCAACTCCAATTCAATTGAAGATATTTCTCACATACTATTAAAATGCCCAAAATATGGATCAATCCGTTCAAATTTCCCGCCTCTACTAAAATATGACGATATATATCGGTTCTTTGAGCACGAACCAAAAACAAATTACTCCTTTATAACTAAATTTTTACGCTCAGCAAAAATAGACTTATGATTAACATTTCATCAAATTTTATTAATACATCACACATTTTGAATGAACATATGAATATAATCTCAATTAATATCGATTACATCATCACTCATCGGATTTCATCGCACATCTTCATAAACTAACAGCACGAATTTCATTCTTATTTTCGTTTTAAAGAATTAATAACCAGTGTCTTGAAATTTCATTTCACACATAGGCGGTGGCGTTTACCCGTTTCTTATTATACAGGACGGCCAAATAAATCTTCCCCATTTTCCTGGATAAAAGTAACTTAATACAAAAAAAAAAAAAACAAGAAAGGAAAGCTAACTTCGGGCGGAGCCGAAGTTGATATACCCTGCAGTTAAAACCGGATATATATCGCAAACATCGGATATAGTTGGCCGCTCCTTATGGGAATATGAATATATAATCCAATTTATTACAATACAAAATCTAAAAAAGTCCCAAACTTCTATCTTCCGATCGTTCAGTTATATGGCAGCTATAAGATATAGTCGGCCGATCGTTATGAAATTTGTTAGGTCGGATAAACTGAAATAATAATCTGTACCAAGTTCCAGCTTTCTATCTTCAAAAACACGAAAGTTGAGTCATTTCCGATCGTTCAGTTCTATGGCAGCTATAGGATATAGTCAGCCGATCCTTACGAAATTTGGCATGTCGTATTATTTTGCCAAAAATAGCTTTCATGTGAAATTTGAACTCTCTAACTCTAAAAACACCGAAGTTATACCATTTCCGATCAATCAGTTATATGGCAGCTATAGGATATAGTCGGCCGATCCGGGCCGTTCCGACTTATATACTGCGTGCAAAAGAAAGAAGGGTGTGTGCAAAGTTTCAAGTCGATAGCTTTAAAACTGAGAGACTAGTTTGCGTAGAAACAGACAGACGGTCAGACGGACAGACGGACAGACGGACATGCTCATATCAACTCAGGAGGTGATCCTGATCAAGAATATATATACTTTAAAGGGTCGGAGATGTCTCCTTCACTGCGTTGCACACTTTTGGACAAAATTATAATACCCTCTGCAAGGGTATAAAAAAAAATGCATGTGGTAAGTGAAAATTTAAAATCAATTAAAATAACATTAAAGAAACAATTTAAAATTTACAGGAACATGGAAAGGGGACATCAAGGCAACATCATAGCTGGTCATGAGGAGTTGGCAGCGAACTTGGAGCTGGCGTCGGTAAAAATTCATGACGCCGACGTCGACGCCGCCGCACACACAAATTGGCCGGCCGCGAGAGATGGTGTGCACACCAAATTGGAGCTGGTGGATGCTGTTGCAGGAACATGGAGGACAACAGGTGAGTACATAACAGGTGGCTTCTCTCCTTCTTACTGTTAATAGAAGGGGAGGGGTCATAAATTGCGTCATATTTTAATATAATATTGTTTTATTTTCAGATGGCAGAAAAAAGAAGAAGACGGCAACAAGTGACGTCGCCGGAGCATAGCAGCGAATTCCCACGAAGAAGCACGACATGGCACGGACGCCGACAAAAAGTGCGCATTTTTCGAGGAAGGAACGGCGCCAGCAAAATGGGCAGCGCAAAGCCCAAATAGCAGCACCGGCGTGTGTGTTATTTGACGCCGAATAAAACCGGCAGTTGGACACAGCAGATGGTGAGTTTTAGTGGCAGAATATTGGCTTCATTTTCTTATTTCTTTTTCTCATCATTTTAGCAGCAGCTGCGCAGCCGACAAACGCCGGCCACATTTATTTATTATTCAGCCACTCGTCGGGAAGGTTCCATGGTAAGTATTTTAACATTGTTTATATCATTTTCTCTTCTAATTTTCCTTTTATTTTCAGATATCCAAAACATGACGAAGAGGACGGACGCGCATCGTAGTGTGCCAACGTGGGAACATGGACCAACGCGGGACATCACCGATGGACCAACGCGGGACATCAACGGTGGACCAACGAGGGACGACATCGGTGGGTAGCTGCAGGCGCTATTGCGTGGCCGCCACAGCTGCTGGACCCCGATGAGGACGCCGAGGGAGGATGGTCACAGTGAGTAGCGCCAACGTGGGACCTTTCAGTGAAAGCCGGCGCCGTCATCACACACCTAGGCATGGCGTCGGCTGCGGGGGCTGAAGTCGTGAATTGGCTGCCGTCGTGAAATTGGCCACAAACGACTGGGGCATGCCGCCGCCGTAAATGGATGCGCCTCACAGTGACCACAGCAGCGATGGACGATAAATTATTCACTTACGTAGTGAAGTGGTGTTCGTTTACATTATTTATATAAAAATCGTCAATTTCAGGAACGCCAAATTCTAGAGAAGGCGCGTCAAGCTGGGCCATGGCCGGACAAATGGGAGCAGAGGTGGCCATCCAGGAGGCACACACGGATGCAGGACCCATGAAGGGAAAAGAATTCCTACCCCTGCGCATGGTTGCTGGCCAGGAAGAGGCCCATAGGGGAGTCGTCCTCAATGGCGGCCATCCGTTTTTTAAACGGATTATCCGTGACGTCATCGGCAGCATTGGGTGAGTCATTTTTATACCCTTGCAGAGGGTATTATAATTTTGTCCAAAAGTGTGCAACGCAGTGAAGGAGACATCTCCGACCCTATAAAGTATATATATTCTTGATCAGGATCACCTCCTGAGTTGATATGAGCATGTCCGTCTGTCCGTCTGTCTGTCTGTCCGTTTCTACGCGAACTAGTCTCTCAGTTTTGAAGCTATCGTCTTGAAACTTTGCACACACCCTTCTTTCCTTTGCACGCAGTATATAAGTCGAAACGACCGGGATCGGCCGACTATATCCTATAGCTGCCATATAACTGATTGATCGGAAATGGTATAACTTTGGTGTTTTTAGAGTTAGAGAGTTCAAATTTGACATGAGTGCTATTTTTGGCAAAACATTACGACATGCCAAATTTCATAAGGATCGGCCTACTATATCCTATAGCTGCCATATAACTGAACGATCGGAAATGGTATTTGGTAGAAATATCAACTTTCGTATTTTTGAAGATAGAAGTTTGGGACATTTTTTAGATTTTGTATTGTAATAAATTGGATTATATTTTCCTATTCCCATAAGGATCGGCCAACTATATCCGATGTTTGCGATATATATCCGGTTTTAACTGCAAGGGTATATAAACTTCGGCTCCGCCCGAAGTTAGCTTTCCTTTCTTGTTTATCATTAAATTGTCAAATTTTTTAATTAATTGCATTAATATCTTTTTTAGGTAGTCAAGTCTGGATATCACTTTCTCCTGGAGGTCATCGTTCATCAGCTGCTGATTTTTATTTATTATTCTGTTATTTATTTTATTTTTTGAAATATATGTCGGCTCCTGTTGGCGGCCAGGGTGGGTGTGGGTTTTCAGGGCGTACCTTCGAAGAGGTCACAACTAGGACTGATAGCCACTACCAGAGTGGTTACAGCTTTTTATTTGCGTAATATACAGTGATTACTTACACTAATACATTTTATACAAATATTAGATAACATAAGAAGCAATTAATAACAAGCTTATAGAAATAATTGAATTACTAACAGTTTTTAACATATAAGATTTGGAGTATCAATAAAGAGAAAAGTAAACAGAATAACTGAAGTATTTTATAAATAATGCAGATTTAGTATAAGGATAATTATTTACTAAGAACGTTGAGTCCAAGCGTCGACCTGGAATCCTGAAGGCCAAATCAGTGGTCAGAACGCTGGGTAAATGGAGAGCGAATTGGAAAGCCGGTACTCAATGGCAGAGTAGTTGATTGGAGGCTACCGCAAAAGTTAGGAGTTCAGGAGTCACAGATGTAAACAGGTGCAGTTGGTGAGGAATGATGCAGGTTAAGAGTAGTAGGATATAATTTGGAGCAATTAAATAATAGATGCAACAGAATTAGGTAGTAGACAATGAGTATAAAAGAGTTTTGAATTCACTTAGATAAAGATAAAATTCGATCGTAGGGTCCAAGCATCGACCTGAAGTCCTGGTGGCCAAGCCAGAGATCCAAACGCTGGGAAGATGAAGCTGGATTGGAAAGCCGGTGCCCAGTGGCAGGGTAGCTGGTTGGAGGCTGCTACCAGAGCTAGGAATACAGTGCCCGATCCCCAAGTTTAGGGAAATTGGTAATCAGGAGTCACAGATATACGCAGGTGTAGTTGGGAAGGAGTGATGTAGATTTAACAATAGCCAACTGGAATATCAATCAGCAGTCAGGGGTAGCAGGTGCCTGAGAATTTTGAGGAGTAAATTAGTAGGAAAGGTATGGTTATACTGCCTTTCCCGGCAAATCAGTGCCATAGTAATCTTATAATTTAAGTAAATTGGCTGACCAGTCAAGGGTCAGATACCTTTGTTTATTTAAGGTAGAGCTTCGTTTAGTTAAACAACATGTATAGCAACAAGTTGCTACGTAGTGTAGAAACAAATGTTTCAGAGACATGGTTGCTGTGTGATAGCAACATAAAGAAACTGAGCGTCAGAGTGTAGGGTAGGAGGGCATGTGAGGAATATACATGGGTCTCGCTCTAACCAATGACTTTAAGCATAACTGGCAAAGCTAAGTTAGTATATAATTGAGTAGCACATGTTGTTTACAATTTTAGCAATAGGTTTTCTCGTTGCAAATCCATTCCCAATCAAGAAATCAGCGCCTGCATAGGATGTAGTATCAGGGCAAACATCAGCCTTTATTAATCCAAGGTATGTCGCAAAATTTGTAGAAACAAAACAAGTTCATTCTGACAGTTAATAAGTTGAACATTATCTAGTAACAGGCAATTATATTTGGAGTAAAAAAGCAGGAATTATTAGATGCAAAATTTCTTATTGCAGATCTATACACCAAAGAATCCAATATGTGTACAGGTGTTGGCCGTCAAGCAGAGTTTAAGTTGGATTAAACACAGGTATGTACATAAGTTTACAGCAGTATGATGAATTAATAGATCCAGGCTTGTATTAGCAGATCAACCTCACACCAGTGGTCACAGGAATTGAGATTAGAAAGTTACAGTAGGTGGGCAGATTTATTTGGAGCAGATTCATTGTAGCTTTATTCCTGTTTGAGAGTCCAGCACAGGCAGCAGAGCCAACTGCATAGCAGACATCCAGGTTGAATTTACTACAGGTATGTGGACGCAAAAGTAATAGTATGATAAGATTAATCCAAGTTTAAATTATTGTTCCAGTTATGGGGGACAAGCAGCAAGAGGATGCCAAGCAAAGCCAGCGAAGGCAGATAAAGAAGTAGCAGGCAGCATCTGATTAATCCATGGTCCTACAAATCAGTATCACTGACACCGGGATGGATTAATCGCAAGTATATAGACAAATTAATAGAAGTATGCTGAGTTTAATTTGTTTCCAAAATCCTATTTCCGCAGAGGTATATTAGCAGCAAGGATGACGCCAAAAGCAGAGCGCGACGCCAACTAGCCAAGGTCAAAAATGCGTGGCACAGTGGGACAACCATTCTCCAGGTCCAGCGACGATGCACGGATATCATTGCACCGCGCTCAGTAGACACACAGCACTTATTAACAGGTCCCAAATTAATAGCGCCATATAATATCAGCAGGTATAGAACCATAGAGACTGGAAAGCTTCACTAGGTAGACAGATTCATTTTAAGTAGATTAATGGTAATGATTTCATCTAATATTTCTAATTGCAGTTTTATTCCTGTTTGAGTATCCAGTAAATGTACCAGAGCCAGTCACATACATAGGAGTCGTTTGAGTTTGGTTAATCACAGGTATGTAGACAAATAGGCAGCAAAATAGTAAGTTTAATCCAAATTTAAAATTTCTGTATGAGTTGTGTAGAATAAGCAGCAAGGAAACGACGAGCAAGGTTGGAGGGCAAATTTAGGAGCATCAGGCAATCTCCGATCCACCACCGGTCAAGAAACCAGCATGTATTTGGGATCCAGCCGCGAAGGCAGACATCAGGATGGATCAGTCGCAAGTATGTAGACAAATTAGTAGCAGCATGCTGAGTTTAATCTGTTATCAAAATCCTATTTCCGTAGAGGTACATTAGCAGCAAGAATGACGCCAAAACAAAACACAATGACAACCAAGCAGGGTCAAGAAATGTATGGCATAGTGGAACAACCAATCTCCAAGTCCAGCAAAGAAGTACAGATAACACTGCGCCACGCTCAGTAGGCACACAGCATTAACTACTAGGCTCTGAATTAGTAGCGCCGTATCATTTCAGCAGTCTCGGAACCATTGAGATTGGAAAACTTCACTAGATAGGCAGATTCGCCTTGAGTAAACCAATGGAAATGACTTCATCCAATATTACCAACTGCAGCTCTACTCTTGTTTTAGTATCCAGTAACTGAACAGAGCCAACCACATGTTTAGGAGCCGTACAAGTTATGCGTTCAGGATCCAGCCGCAAAGCAGACATCAGGACGGATCAATCGCAAGTATGTAGACAAATTAATAGCAGTATGCTGAGTTTAATCTGTTTTCAAAATCCTATTTCCATATAGGTATATTAGCAGCAAGGATGACGCTAAAAACAGAGCGTGATGTAAATTAACCAGGGTCGATAATGTATGGCATAGTGAAACGACTATTCTCCAAGTCTGGTGGCGATGTACAGGATGCGTAATAATTAGTATTCCAAATAGCCGTTATAACAGGATAAGTTAATATGTGATCGTCAGGTAGTCGCGGCCAAGGGCAGATTGCTGAAGGAACCTGGGACAAAGTAGTACTTAAAGTATTTGTGGTTGGCAAGGTAATTCTGCATTGACTGAACAAAATCATGGTCTTAATCAAATTCGTTTTCAATTTGCAGTTTCAGGCTGGAGAGCCTATCATCTTGTTGCTGTTCAGGAGTAGGTGGTGGAATCTTACTCAGAGAAAGTAGAATCATAACAAGACGTTGAATGTATTCTGGTTGGCATTTGATTTTCTGCACTGTTTACCTGCGTGTATAAACACTACTACGGAGTCACCATGGTGGAGCGTTTACCCAGAACATCAAGAAGCGCTGAAAAGGATCACATTCAAGCTTTAGGCATTCAATCTCTTCACAAGCTTCAGTAGCTAATTTCCTTTAAGCCTATTTATATCCGTATGCTGCTACATTATAGAATCAATCCAGTTTTAAATTCCTGATTCAGTTATGGAGGAATAGGAGCAGCGAAATACGCTAAACAGGCTGAAGAGAGCAAATATAGGAGCTGCAAACGAATTCCTAAGACTGGCAGATTGGCTAGAAAAAGCAGTCAATTTATCCAAGGATACTGCAACGTTACGTTACTCAAGTGGGTGCTTAGCAGTTGGTCAGGATTCCGTCAGATGAACAGCTGTTGGATTGAATGATGCCAGTAAGTAAGAGAAGTTGATTTGGAGTAAGGCAGAAGCAATAATTTTATTTTCCATCATAGATTAACTCCCAATTGAGGGGCAGACTGAGGATTAATTACAGGAACGTAAATAAATTAGCAGCAGATTGTAGGAATTAACCAGTTTATAGAATCCTATATCTGTTAAGACAGATTAGCGACGAAATTAACTCCGATCATGTCTGGAGAGGGCGAGTAAAAAGAATCAGGAACAGCAGCATAAAAATAGAATTAAAAAACCAGAATTTTATTTTTTCCAGAATTTTTCCAAAATTAAGAAAACCAATTTTAGTTTTAATGAATTATATTTAAGTAGTTTAAGTAATTTTGTGTTAATAAAATGTAATAAATCATCGATCAGATGTGAAAAATTCAACCAGTTTGGTTATTGAGTCCAACTTTTTGGACAGTCCATCAACGGTGCGGCAGCTGCGAAGGACAGCCTTGAGTAGATCCTCAGGAGGTGAGCCTTCCATAGGGGGCTCTCCGGAGAGGGAATCCAAGTCACTTCCAGGGGAACAACTGTGGCCAGGTTGGTCCGACGAGGACAGCCACTGAGATGGCATTCCTGGCCTTTCCAAAGCGATGGGAGAGGGCATCCTGTAACGTGATTCCCGCTGCTCAGGCGCACAATGGGGTTTTTCTGGAGGAGAACGACGCATAGGTGGACCACAGTCATAACTGGAGTCGCTTGAATAGCCCTGGACCGGTAGTCCTGAACGCCGAGAGGATGCGCTGTGGTGGCGACGGCGGAGTAAGGAGTGCTTTCGGTTAGATGAAGTTTTTGGTGGTTGAGAATTTAGATAGGATGGGCCAGAGTCGCTGCTGGATCTGCTGTGGTCACCATGGGTTAACAAAAAGAACACACGAGGTGCCTTGGAGTTAAGCTGAGTAGATGGCTTCAGTTGCCGAGCACGGCGGGATGTGGTTGGCGGGGATTGAGAACGTTGAGGAATCAGGCTGCGGGGATGGCGCCGAGACGGAGAGAGTACACGGCGAGATGATGTTGTGCGTGGCCGAGATGGTCGATTAGTTGTGCAAGAATCGCCGCTGGAGTTGCTCAAGTCATCCCGAGCTGGCGATGGAGCTCGGCGAGGTGGCTTGGAGTGATGCGGATCACGCTTAGTAGGTGAAGGAAGCGGTTTAAGTAGATTGAGCGCACGATGGGAAGTCATTGGAGGAGATATACACTGCTGAGATGTTGAGGTGGAAAGATGACGCTGAGCCGAGGAGTTAGTTGGTCCTAGAGAAAGACTTTCCTTTGCTTCCATGAACTTAACACAGCCTTTGTAAGTGGCAACATGTTTGCCACCACAGTTGGCGCACTTAGGTGGGGAAGACCATGGAAGTGGGCAGACGGCCTTGTGATGCGGGCCAGCACAGATTACACAGACGGGATCGCGGCGGCAGTAGTTTTTAGTGTGCCCGTAACGCTGGCACCGCTGACACATTGTAGGCTCTTCCGATTGCCTTTGGCGCTCGATGGTAACAGGCCTGTTGCAGAGCTTCTTGATAGCAAGGAATTCGTCAACACGTTCCAGGTCGAACGGTGCTACAGCAATCTCAAAAAGGTTCATTGGCTCATGGCTACGATAAAACTTCAGGTTTCGGATATGGCATAACGTGAAGTTTAAAAGCTCAAATTCCGCACGAATACTTGAGATAGGAATTGAGTGATGAAGACCTCGAATAATAAAGCGACGATAGTCATTTAAATGTCGCATAATTGAGTGGGCCCGATATCCTGATCCATACAAGTTCGAGAGGATGAGGGAGTGATCTTCCTTGGTGAAGCAGGTCACCTTAACTCTGCCCTCATCCAGACGAGAATCTTCGAGGGGCAGGAGCTAAGGAATCCTTTAAAGTTGAATACTCATGAGACATCCAAAACAATTATTGGGGGATGCCAACCACTTTATTCGATGAAGCAGCCATGGTACAGTTTTTTATTTTCTTTTCCTTAGTGTGTTTGTCAAATACGACCGATCGCAGTTAAGGCTTGTGAAAGAGTGAGAAACAGAATCGCAATGGCTGAAAAAATGGTGCAGCACAATGAAACGAAAACTACGCATTAGAATAAGGCGACAGCGCAGAGCAACTTTAAGAGAGTATGTGCGTATAACACTTTGTTCTATGTGTGTGGGAGTTGCATACGGAGGAAAAGAAGCACAGAAGGAGAGCAAGCAATAGATTTGTAGTTTTTGTGATAAAGAAATGCATGCATATGGATAATATAAAATATTTGTGTTGCAAGCTTTAATATTGATTCCTTTCTAGTGTTATTTCCTTTAAGATTGGCAGAATAAGGATTTATGCTATAATTTAAATGAACAATTAAAAGATCATCATGACGTAGATGGTTTAATTTCCAAAGAACTTTCATATTGCCATTTAACTGTATTGTAGTTAGGTCTACAAAATACTGGGGGTTGTGTTAATAGGTAAATCATTGGATTGGCTAATAGAACTCCACAGTTTTCAGGATAGTCATTAAGGTGCACTCCTTATAATGGAGCAATGTCATTTTTTGAGAAGGTATCTAGTAATGAGCAGTTAGATTTTTGTGGGGCCACTGCCAGTATTAGTTAGCGACTTGGGGTCAGCAACAATTGCGTGTATGAGAGAAATGAGGGAATCAAGTTTTATACTTAGGTCACTTACAGAGGACACACTCTGTTGCATCATTAGCAGGAGGTCGCCATTAGTTGATGAGGGAGCAGACCAGGTTCTTTGAGGCAAGCCAATTGGTGCAGATTGGGGGTTGTGTGAGGATGCTGCATTTTGTTTCGGGTAACGGGTTCTCTCGTGCTGGTGTGATTGACTGGTGATTGCGCTGGAATGCATGACAACATTTATGTTTGAGACATGTTTGTCATTTTCGAGTCGCTGCTCATTCATAAGTTGCTGCTCATTCCTAAGTTGCTGTTGAAGTTTCTTTAAATGATTTTCAGCTGGATTACGCGATAGAAGATTTTGAGGAGGCGTATGGGGAGAGTTACTAAATGGATTCCTTTTGCCTAATTTAGGATTTGACGAAGGAGTGTTAGCTTGGTTAAGATGGGGCTGAACGTCAGACATTATAGTTGCTCTACGACCACTAGGAGACCGCAGTTGATCCCTGAAACCTTCACGGATGAAATCCTGCTGTTGTAAGGATGTATTTTGAGGTAGCTGCTAGTACTGTTGCTGATGACTGTCGTAGTAGGTGGGTTGGGGATTAAACCTAACCGTAGATTGGTGTGTCCTAGATTGACCATTATCGGCAGAGTGTATACGATAGGCAAGAAGACGGGTTTTGAATTCTTTGTACACCGTGCAGCCTTTATAACTGGCAATATGTCCCAGACCACAATTGGCACACTTTGGATTGGCGATTCTACTGTTTGCACAGTCCGTGGAAGGGTGGCTACCAGCACACTTAAGACAGGCAAAGTCTCGGCGGCAGAAGTTCTTTGTGTGTCCAAAGCGTTGGCATCTGTGGTACTGAGCCGGCTCCATTCTCCTTAATTGCCGCTCTACTGTAACCCTCTGATTACCCAGCATAGTAACGGAGAGGATCCTATCATTAGAGTTATCCAAAGAAGGTGCCAGTTCAACCTCAAACAAATCCAGCGGCTTGTGACTACGGCGGTGCTTGATATTATTTATATAGCGGACAGTGAAGCCCAAGTTGCTAAGGAGTTTGCGGATCTGATCATAAGGTGTAGAATGGTGGAGTCGACGAATAATTAACCTATACCCTCGATCAGAACGAGGTTGGTGAGTATGAGTTTGCTTGTTATCAGTCTCTAATTTGTTCATGATTAATTGGTAGGTGGTGGAGTTGCTGCAGGTTATTTTGATATAGTTTCCATTTAGTGCTGTAGTGGTGAAGTTTTTCTCCAAAACTCCTGGAATGGAGTTAAGAGAATCAAGGAGGGGTTGGATGATAGTCACATTATGAAGGAAAATAGCCGGAATTTTATCCTCTGCATTACGAAGAGAAGCCAGTCTGAGCAGAATCGCAGCATCCTTGCTGGTAGAGGGACCATCTTGAAGAAAATTATCCGGAACTTTATCCTCAGACCTATGATTGATGGGAAGATTGGGATCCTTAGTTGAGTTTTTACTCGTGGAGGGAATGTTAGCAACATTTGAATTAAATTTTGGTAAAAGAATATCACTGAGGATCTGGACTTTGGAAGCACTCTTAGAGGAACTAGTGTTATGGCTAGCAGAACCACGCTTGGAGCGCTTGCGTAGAGATAAGGATAGAGGGAATGGTTTCTTCCTCTTACTACACATTGGTCCTGGTTTACCAATGAGCAAAGAAAGCTCCCGAGAAATTTTCGGAGTGGAGGTGGATAACGGGTCAGTGCTACATTCCATGTGGACAACGTCTGAAGTCTCCATCGCAGTGACACTTTCCTGATTCGCAGAGGTAGGTTTATTGATGGCTGTGCAGTCACTTGGAGCCGGGTCAGAGCCTGAGGAGAACCAGGAGAGCCTAGGTGATGTAGAGACACTTTTTTCGAAGGAACTAGCAGAGCTGACGATGGATAGAGGTAGTGCATCCACGTTTTCATTTAGATTGACTTCCTCTACCTCCAGACTAAGATCCATGTTGTTGCTGTTGCTGGGATTAGAGGTGATGGGTTCCATCCTACCACGTGTAAAACTCAGTTACGTAAAAGACGACTATGTATGGAGGAGTATGATGGAGTTATTGCAGTGGATCAGTAGATGTAATGGAGTAGTAAAAAGTATTGGTGCAGTTTGGTGAGTTCGTGCAGTTATATGTATTAGCACAATGGTGAGATTTGCACAACGTCAATACAGATAAAATTACAATTGTAACAGAAAAAACAATGTACGTGTAATAGATGTATGAGAGAGTCTGCCTACGTGTATTCAGCCACATACACGAAACAGATGCTTGTAATAGTATGCGCAAAATTAAAAGTTCACGTGGAACAGTTTTTAAAAAATTAAAAATTGGTTGTGAAGTATTAAAATAAAGCACGCACACTATTCATAGGATTAAGTTAATACACTTGCCACAACATGTATATTTTTTTCAGGGCGTGCCTTCGATGAGGTCACAACTAGGACTGATAGCCACTACCAGAGTGGTTACAGCTTTTTATTTGCGTAATATACAGTGATCACTTACACTAATACATTTTATACAAATATTAGATAACATAAGAAGCAATTAATAACAAGCTTATAGAAATAATTGAATTACTAACAGTTTTTAACATATAAGATTTGGAGTATCAATAAAGAGAAAAGTAAACAGAATAACTGAAGTATTTTATAAATAATGCAGATTTAGTATAAGGATAATTATTTACTAAGAACGTTGAGTCCAAGCGTCGACCTGGAATCCTGAAGGCCAAATCAGTGGTCAGAACGCTGGGTAAATGGAGAGCGAATTGGAAAGCCGGTACTCAATGGCAGAGTAGTTGATTGGAGGCTACCGCAAAAGTTAGGAGTTCAGGAGTCACAGATGTAAACAGGTGCAGTTGGTGAGGAATGATGCAGGTTAAGAGTAGTAGGATATAATTTGGAGCAATTAAATAATAGATGCAACAGAATTAGGTAGTAGACAATGAGTATAAAAGAGTTTTGAATTCACTTAGATAAAGATAAAATTCGATCGTAGGGTCCAAGCATCGACCTGAAGTCCTGGTGGCCAAGCCAGAGATCCAAACGCTGGGAAGATGAAGCTGGATTGGAAAGCCGGTGCCCAGTGGCAGGGTAGCTGGTTGGAGGCTGCTACCAGAGCTAGGAATACAGTGCCCGATCCCCAAGTTTAGGGAAATTGGTAATCAGGAGTCACAGATATACGCAGGTGTAGTTGGGAAGGAGTGATGTAGATTTAACAATAGCCAACTGGAATATCAATCAGCAGTCAGGGGTAGCAGGTGCCTGAGAATTTTGAGGAGTAAATTAGTAGGAAAGGTATGGTTATACTGCCTTTCCCGGCAAATCAGTGCCATAGTAATCTTATAATTTTAGTAAATTGGCTGACCAGTCAAGGGTCAGATACATTTGTTTATTTAAGGTAGAGCTTCGTTTAGTTAAACAACATGTATAGCAACAAGTTGCTAGGTAGTGTAGAAACAAATGTTTCAGAGACAGGGTTGCTGTGTGATAGCAACATAAAGAAACTGAGCGTCAGAGTGTAGGGTAGGAGGGCATGTGAGGAATATACATGGGTCTCGCTCTAACCAATGACTTTAAGCATAACTGGCAAAGCTAAGTTAGTATTAGTGCAGTGTGCAATGCAAGAAAAACAATAATTGAGTAGCACATGTTGTTTACAATTTTAGCAATAAGTTTTCTCGTTGCAAATCCATTCCCAATCAAGAAATCAGCGCCTGCATAGGATGTAGTATCAGGGCAAACATCAGCCTTTATTAATCCAAGGTATGTGGCAAAATTTGTAGAAACAAAACAAGTTCATTCTGACAGTTAATAAGTTGAACATTATCTAGTAACAGGCAATTATATTTGGAGTAAAAAAGCAGGAATTATTAGATGCAAAATTTCTTATTGCAGATCTATACACCAAAGAATCCAATATGTGTACAGGTGTTGGCCGTCAAGCAGAGTTTAAGTTGGATTAAACACAGGTATGTACATAAGTTTACAGCAGTATGATGAATTAATAGATCCAGGCTTGTATTAACAGATCAACCTCACACCAGTGGTCACAGGAATTGAGATTAGAAAGTTACAGTAGGTGGGCAGATTTATTTGGAGCAGATTCATTGTAGCTTTATTCCTGTTTGAGAGTCCAGCACAGGCAGCAGAGCCAACTGCATAGCAAAAGTAATAGTATGATAAGATTAATCCAAGTTTAAATTATTGTTCCAGTTATGGGGGACAAGCAGCAAGAGGATGCCAAGCAAAGCCAGCGAAGGCAGATAAAGAAGTAGCAGGCAGCATCTGATTAATCCATGGTCCTACAAATCAGTATCACTGAGCCACGTTCTGAGCCAGGGAACTAGTATGTGATTGAATTCCAACTGCAAGGCAGACACCGGGATGGATTAATCGCAAGTATATAGACAAATTAATAGAAGTATGCTGAGTTTAATTTGTTTCCAAAATCCTATTTCCGCAGAGGTATATTAGCAGCAAGGATGACGCCAAAAGCAGAGCGCGACGCTAACTAGCCAAGGTCAAAAATGCGTGGCACAGTGGGACAACCATTCTCCAGGTCCAGCGACGATGCACGGATATCATTGCACCGCGCTCAGTAGACACACAGCACTTATTAACAGGTCCCAAATTAATAGCGCCATATAATATCAGCAGGTATAGAACCATAGAGACTGGAAAGCTTCACTAGGTAGACAGATTCATTTTAAGTAGATTAATGGTAATGATTTCATCTAATATTTCTAATTGCAGTTTTATTCCTGTTTGAGTATCCAGTAAATGTACCAGAGCCAGTCACATACATAGGAGTCGTTTGAGTTTGGTTAATCACAGGTATGTAGACAAATAGGCAGCAAAATAGTAAGTTTAATCCAAATTTAAAATTTCTGTATGAGTTGTGCAGAATAAGCAGCAAGGAAACGACGAGCAAGGTTGGAGGGCAAATTTAGGAGCAGCAGGCAATCTCCGATCCACCACCGGTCAAGAAACCAGCATGTATTTGGGATCCAGCCGCGAAGGCAGACATCAGGATGGATCAGTCGCAAGTATGTAGACAAATTAGTAGCAGCATGCTGAGTTTAATCTGTTATCAAAATCCTATTTCCGTAGAGGTACATTAGCAGCAAGAATGACGCCAAAACAAAACACAATGACAACCAAGCAGGGTCAAGAAATGTATGGCATAGTGGAACAACCAATCTCCAAGTCCAGCAAAGAAGTACAGATAACACTGCGCCACGCTCAGTAGGCACACAGCATTAACTACTAGGCTCTGAATTAGTAGCGCCGTATCATTTCAGCAGTCTCGGAACCATTGAGATTGGAAAACTTCACTAGATAGGCAGATTCGCCTTGAGTAAACCAATGGAAATGACTTCATCCAATATTACCAACTGCAGCTCTACTCTTGTTTTAGTATCCAGTAACTGAACAGAGCCAACCACATGTTTAGGAGCCGTACAAGTTAGATTGTAAAAATTCAAATTTAAAAATTCTTTGTCAGATGAATAGGATAAGCAGCAAGAAAAACATTGAGTAAGGTTGGGAGGCAGATTAGGAGCAGCAGGTGAACTCCGATTTGTTACTGGTTCAGAAGCTAGTATGCGTTCAGGATCCAGCCGCAAAGCAGACATCAGGACGGATCAATCGCAAGTATGTAGACAAATTAATAGCAGTATGCTGAGTTTAATCTGTTTTCAAAATCCTATTTCCATATAGGTATATTAGCAGCAAGGATGACGCAAAAAACAGAGCGTGATGTAAATTAACCAGGGTCGATAATGTATGGCATAGTGAAACGACTATTCTCCAAGTCTGGTGGCGATGTACAGGATGCGTAATAATTAGTATTCCAAATAGCCGTTATGACAGGATAAGTTAATATGTGATCGTCAGGTAGTCGCGGCCAAGGGCAGATTGCTGAAGGAACCTGGGACAAAGTAGTACTTTAAAGTATTTGTGGTTGGCAAGGTAATTCTGCATTGACTGAACAAAATCATGGTCTTAATCAAATTCGTTTTCAATTTGCAGTTTCAGGCTGGAGAGCCTATCATCTAGTTGCTGTTCAGGAGTAGGTGGTGGAATCTTACTCAGAGAAAGTGGAATCATAACAAGACGTTGAATGTATTCTGGTTGGCATTTGATTTTCTGCACTGTTTACCTGCGTGTATAAACACTACTACGGAGTCACCATGGTGGAGCGTTTACCTAGAACATCAAGAAGCGCTGAAAAGGATCACATTCAAGCTTTAGGCATTCAATCTCTTCACAAGCTTCAGTAGCTAATTTCCTTTAAGCCTATTTACATCCGTATGCTGCTACATTATAGAATCAATCCAGTTTTAAATTCCTGATTCAGTTATGGAGGAATAGGAGCAGCGAAATACGCTAAACAGGCTGAAGAGAGCAAATATAGGAGCTGCAAACGAATTCCTAAGACTGGCAGATTGGCTAGAAAAAGCAGTCAATTTATCCAAGGATACTGCAACGTTACGTTACTCAAGTGGGTGCTTAGCAGTTGGTCAGGATTCCGTCAGATGAACAGCTGTTGGATTGAATGATGCCAGTAAGTAAGAGAAGTTGATTTGGAGTAAGGCAGAAGCAATAATTTTATTTTCCATCATAGATTAACTCCCAATTGAGGGGCAGACATATGTTATCCCGCTGCAGCAAAGATTTTAGGATGGATTAATTACAGGAACGTAAATAAATTAGCAGCAGATTGTAGGAATTAACCAGTTTATAGAATCCTATATCTGTTAAGACAGATTAGCGACGAAATTAACTCCGATCATGTCTGGAGAGGGCGAGTAAAAAGAATCAGGAACAGCAGCATAAAAATAGAATTAAAAAACCAGAATTTTATTTTTCCAGAATTTTTTCCAGAATTAAGAAAACCAATTTTAGTTTTAATGAATTATATTTAAGTAGTTTAAGTAATTTTGTGTTAATAAAATGTAATAAATCATCGATCAGATGTGAAAAATTCAACCAGTTTGGTTATTGAGTCCAACTTTTTGGACAGTCCATCAACGGTGCGGCAGCTGCGAAGGACAGCCTTGAGTAGATCCTCAGGAGGTGAGCCTTCCATAGGGGGCTCTCCGGAGAGGGAATCCAAGTCACTTCCAGGGGAACAACTGTGGCCAGGTTGGTCCGACGAGGACAGCCACTGAGATGGCATTCCTGGCCTTTCCAAAGCGATGGGAGAGGGCATCCTGTAACGTGATTCCCGCTGCTCAGGCGCACAATGGGGTTTTTCTGGAGGAGAACGACGCATAGGTGGACCACAGTCATAACTGGAGTCGCTTGAATAGCCCTGGACCGGTAGTTCTGAACGCCGAGAGGATGCGCTGTGGTGGCGACGGCGGAGTAAGGAGTGCTTTCGGTTAGATGAAGTTTTTGGTGGTTGAGAATTTAGATAGGATGGGCCAGAGTCGCTGCTGGATCTGCTGTGGTCACCATGGGTTAACAAAAAGGACACACGAGGTGCCTTGGAGTTAAGCTGAGTAGATGGCTTCAGTTGCCGAGCACGGCGGGATGTGGTTGGCGGGGATTGAGAACGTTGAGGAATCAGGCTGGGGCGATGGCGCCGAGACGGAGAGAGTACACGGCGAGATGATGTTGTGCGTGGCCGAGATGGTCGATTAGTTGTGCAAGAATCGCCGCTGGAGTTGCTCAAGTCATCCCGAGCTGGCGATGGAGCTCGGCGAGGTGGCTTGGAGTGATGCGGATCACGCTTAGTAGGTGAAGGAAGCGGTTTAAGTAGATTGAGCGCACGATGGGAAGTCATTGGAGGAGATATACACTGCTGAGATGGCGAGGTGGAAAGATGACGCTGAGCCGAGGAGTTAGTTGGTCCTAGAGAAAGACTTTCCTTTGCTTCCATGAACTTAACACAGCCTTTGTAAGTGGCAACATGTTTGCCACCACAGTTGGCGCACTTAGGTGGGGAAGACCATGGAAGTGGGCAGACGGCCTTGTGATGCGGGCCAGCACAGATTACACAGACGGGATCGCGGCGGCAGTAGTTTTTAGTGTGCCCGTAACGCTGGCACCGCTGACACATTGTAGGCTCTTCCGATTGCCTTTGACGCTCGATGGTAACAGGCCTGTTGCAGAGCTTCTTGATAGCAAGGAATTCGTCAACACGTTCCAGGTCGAACGGTGCTACAGCAATCTCAAAAAGGTTCATTGGCTCATGGCTACGATAAAACTTCAGGTTTCGGATATGGCATAACGTGAAGTTTAAAAACTCAAATTCCGCACGAATACTTGAGATAGGAATTGAGTGATGAAGACCTCGAATAATAAAGCGACGATAGTCATTTAAATGTCGCATAATTGAGTGGGCCCGATATCCTGATCCATACAAGTTCGAGAGGATGAGGGAGTGATCTTCCTTGGTGAAGCAGGTCACCTTAACTCTGCCCTCATCCAGACGGGTAACCTCATAGTCGATAATCTTCGAGGAGCAGGAGCTAAGGAATCCTTTAAAGTTGAATACTGATGAGACATCCAAAACAATTATTGGGGGGATGTCAACCACTTTATTCGATGAAGCAGCCATGGTACAGTTTTTTATTTTCTTTTCCTTAGTGTGTTTGTCAAATACGACCGATCGCAGTTAAGGCTTGTGAAAGAGTGAAACAGAATCGCAATGGCTGAAAAAATGGTGCAGCACAATGAAACGAAAACTACGCATTAGAATAAGGCGACAGCGCAGAGCAACTTTAAGAGAGTATGTGCGTATAACACTTTGTTCTATGTGTGTGGGAGTTGCATACGGAGGAAAAGAAGCACAGAAGGAGAGCAAGCAATAGATTTGTAGTTTTTGTGATAAAGAAATGCATGCATATGGATAATATAAAATATTTGTGTTGCAAGCTTTAATATTGATTCCTTTCTAGTGTTATTTCCTTTAAGATTGGCAGAATAAGGATTTATGCTATAATTTAAATGAACAATTAAAAGATCATAATGACGTAGATGGTTTAATTTCCAAAGAACTTTCATATTGCCATTTAACTGTATTGTAGTTAGGTCTACAAAATACTGGGGGTTGTGTTGATAGGTAAATCATTGGATTGGCTAATAGAACTCCACAGTTTTCAGGATAGGCATTAAGGTGCACTCCTTATAATGGA